TCTTTCTCCCGTTCTCACGCAGTCTGACACTTGTCCTGTGCTCTGCCCGAGAGACAGATTTCCGGCCCCAGATAGACACTGGGGCGTCCTAGTGACCACCACCCACTCAATGGCTCCTTTGCGAGGTAACGCCAAAGCACGTTGTTCACTTGCCCAACCGCCGCCGCCGCCGTTTTGTCAAGTGTTGCTAGCAGCAGCTAATAGCCCAGCCATATGGTTTCACTTTGTACTGCTCCTCTTCCTCTTCACTTCTCTACTTCATCTGGATCTCGAATTTCGTTAGTCTCTGTGTGCCGTGCCGTGCTGTGCCACACTCATTTGCATATGCACCGTCTTCGCATCGCACTCTTCATCTCACTCTCACACGCTCTCTCACTCTTTCCCTTTCTCTTTCCCCGTGCTCGACTCTTGTGCTTCTCACGCTCTCTCTTTCTCTGATTCAGCCTTCCATCTCTCTCTTTCGATTTCTCTCTCCTCGACGACCACCATCACCACCGATTCAAGAACACCGAGCACAAAGAGAGGGAGCCCAGCCACTTCTCGACGCTTCTCTCTCTCTCTCCTCCCACTGTGCGCCCTACCCCTTGCTGAGCTGAGCTATGGACGAGAGATGTGACGCCTCTGCCCGAGATCACCTAACCGCCGAATTCAGTGACAGCCTTCAGCTCAGTGTAGAGCAGCAGCAGCAGCAGCAATCGCAGCAAAGTGTCATTCCTTCACCAAACAGTACCTGTGAACAGCAGCAGCAACTTGCACCGATTGAGCCTGCCACCACCGCCACCACTTCCCTGAACTATATTTTGCATCAGCCTTCACGGCCCTCATCTTCATCATCAGCATCACATCTGCCAGCAACCACCACCCAACACACAGTGCCATTTCCTCATCGATATCCCCTGAGCGAGCAGCACCTCAGAGGTCTTACAGTGAGCAGTATCATCCGCTCGGCGACGCTCTCCGAGCCGGAACAGCTGACAGCGCTTGAATCGCAGCGCACAGCTTTCTTTCATTCAGTGCTGCTGGATCAGCCGCTGAATCAACCCACCACTACCACCATCACTCAGTGTTCAGCTCCAGCTTTGGTAAGTACCCTTTACCCCTATCTTAAAACGATTCAGTAGTAGGCATCTTGTTCCTCATCTGCTCCCTCTCTCCATTCAGGCGTCGGACGAAAGTAGCGCCAATTCACCGCAGCAACAGACACAGCAGCAGCAGCTGAGCACAGCTGCAGTCGCTGCAACAACAAAAGCAGCAGCACCACCTGCGCCGACAGGCAACAGCAGCACAGCAGCAGCTAGTACAGCAGCCNTTCCCTCTCTCCATTCAGGAGTCAGACAAAAGTAGCGCCAATTCACCGCAACAACAGACACAGCAGCAGCAGCAGCTGAGCACAGCTGCAGTCGCAGTAACAACAAAAGCAGCAGCAACACCTGCGCCGACAGGCAACAGCAGCACAGCAGCAGCTAGTACAGCAGCCGACACAATGGCACGCAAAGGGGCGGCCAAGAAATCAAAACAACAATCGACAGCGCCGGTAAGTGGCGGCGAGAATGGCGACGTCGCCGGCCCTTCTGGCGGAGGCGGCAGCGACGACGCTGACGAACGCCCTCCCGAGACTGTTCAGGATGTGGAAGTGGAGGAAAGTGAACGTAATGGACAAGTAGGAGAAGGAGGAGGAGAAGGAAGTGACCAGCAGGACCAGAGCGCTGAGGCCCGTCCATCCACTTCTCAGTCCACAAAACAGGAAAAGGAAAAGGAAGAGGCAGCCACAGCTGTAGAAGTCCCAGCTACAGCTGCTGCTCAAGGCGCCCCCAGCTCAGAGAAACAGACCGAAGAGAGCAGTGGCGGCGGCGGCGGTGTCCTGGACACACCGCAGCCGAGCACCAGCACCGGCGCAAGTAGTGGTAGTGGCCGATCTCAGCGTCGTCGACAGAAGCCGAAGCGCATGGACGACGACTGCTTCTTCACCGACTACCTGGGCACGTCGTGGAACCGCACGCCGAAGGTGGCCGCTACCGCCACTACTGCCACCACAACCACCACGGAAGCTGTGGCCTCCACTTCCACTTCCAGCGCAACGGCCACTGCTGAGCATCAGCCAGCACCGTCCACTACTTCCTCTTCCTCGAGGACGGCCTCGCGAGCGGCCTCTATGGAGGCACCACCGCCGGTGGCCGCAACATTGGCGGTGNTGCCACTACTGCCACCACAACCACTACGGAAGCTGTGGCCTCCACTTCCAGCACAACGGCCACTGCTGAGCATCAGCCAGCACCGTCCACCACTTCCTCTTCCTCGAGGACGGCCTCGCGAGCGGCCTCTATGGAGGCACCACCGCCGGTGGCCGCAACATTGGCGGTGGAGGAAGTGGACGACGGGGAAGACAGCGACTCGAGCGTCGAGGAGTTTGACAGCGATGAGGAGTACGACGGTACTCTCTAGTAAGTGTGCCCTCTGATCATGTTCTGAAGCAGTGCCACTAACAACACATACCTCTTCTTTCCCTCTTTCAGCTGCATCTGCCGCAAGCCGTACCGCCAGCAGACGCGCAAGCTCTTTATGATTCAGTGCGACTGCTGCGGCCAGTGGTACCACGGCAACTGCGTCGCCCTCTCTAAGGATGATCGTAAGTGTGATGATAGGCGTTTTTAGAANGCGCAAGCTCTTTATGATTCAGTGCGACTGCTGCGGCCAGTGGTACCACGGCAACTGCGTCGCCCTCTCTAAGGATGATCGTAAGTGTGATGATAGGCGTTTTTAGAAAGTGAGGCTAACTCTCTGTTTTTTTACATTTTGCAGGCAAAAACTCGCGGATTCTCGGCGGCGAGTTCAAGTACGACTGCCCGGAGTGCAAGCGCCTGAAGGCGGAGGGCATGCCCGTGCCGGAGATTGTCGCGCTGATCTCCGCCAAGTTTACCGCCTGGCAGGCGGCCGAGGCGGCGGAGATGGCCGCCAATGGAGGCCGTGTGGAGGAGCTGGGCAACGCCAAGGAGAATAAGGGAGGCAAGAAGAGGAGGTCGACGTCGACCGCTTCCAGAGGGCGAAACAACAGGGCACGATCGGCTTCGACCCGACGCCCCAGTCAGTCGGCGGATGCTGCCGCTGCCGCTCAGAGTATTATGAGTCAGGCTCGAAGTCAGAGCGTGGCTGGTCGGACGAGCAGCAGCAGCTCTTCGGTGCAGGCGATGAGTCGCCAGGAGGCGAACGATTTGATCTCGGCCATTGAAGGCAATGATGAAGAGGAAGAGCCGGAAGAGGAGGAGGACCCGGAGGAAGAGGTTCCACTGGACGACGATGATGAGGACTTTGAGATTGAGCGGGAGCTGCAGATTGTGGAGAAGCCAGTCGGTCGGCGGCAGTCGACGCCAAAGACTTCGGCTAAGACTTCCTCGACTGCCTCCTCGAAGAGTTCGGCAAAGGCAACTTCTGCTGGTGTTGGAGGTTCTGCCTCCTCCACTCGAACCAGCGCCTCAAAGGAGTCGGAGAATGCACGCCGCCTGCGCAAGCTGATTGGCAAGGTGAAGAAGCGCCGGCTCAATGATCAGCTGATGGGAGTGGCTGGGGCTGGATCGCCTGCGAAGACCACCGCAACTGAAGCTGAAGATGGCGGCAATGAAAACGCTGCAGCCGTGGACGAAGCTTCGAACGAGAACGAGGCGGCCGCGGAGGTGGACAAGGCACCTCGCAAGGTGCTGGACTTTGCTGACTCGAGTGCAGCCAAGGCGACCGTGAGCTCACCGCCTTCAGAGGAGGCTGATGACGCTCCCTCTCAGGCGAAGCGTCTGAAGATGGCCACCGCCACTGCTATCACTGCATCGTCTGATGATCATCATCAAGAGGAGGAGGAGAAAGATGTGGGTGGCAAATCAGCTCCTTCCGCCAAGAAGCCTTCTCAGTCTGAGGCTGTGAAGATGAGCGGCGGCAACGAAGTTGGAAAAGCGCCCAAGTCTCGAGAGCGCACCATCTCCTCCTCGTCGACTGGTGAACGAAAGGAGGGGGAGGAGGGTAGCTCTAGCAAAGCCAAACAGAGCTCCTCCTCATCCTCATCATCATCAGCTGTGCCTTCAAAAGTTGTGAGCAAGCAGTCGAGTCACTCGTCCTCCACTTCCTCCTCAAAGACGGACGAAAAGAGGGGGA